TCTACGAGGAAAGCCATCACCCTTCCCAAGAAGGCCATCCAAGGAAAACCAACCACCACACGGAGGTGGACTCAACCGAATAACCCTGGTCACACATAGTTTTAGAACCTTGAAGAATCAACAGAGGTTGAGACCTGAACTGGTACCTTGTAGTGGCACTATGGAGATAGACTATAGATGGCGGGTTCTTCAAATTGAGTCTAGGGAAAAAATAAACACGGGGGGGAAAACAAAACAACTCTTTGTCCTGGTTTTGTACTGGTTGAGTGCATCGCCTGCAGTGATCTTCAGCTTGCAGGTCTCGTGCAGCTGCTCATTCCAGTGGCGATACCGCACGGCCGTGCGGCGTTGCTTCACCTCCTGCGGTGCGGAACTTCACCGGGGCGGCGCGATCGAACTCCAAGGGTTCTTCGGATGGATCGAACTCCCAGGAGTCACTGGACTCGATCTACGTCATGCCATGTGATCCAACCGGATGACAACGCGGATTCGCCCCACCCATGCACAGATTTCGCGGAATGGACATCGAATGTATTGACCTTCGCAAAGAACTGGTCAGGGTTGAGCAAAGAACTGGTCAGTCTGGTCAGTTGGACTGTGCGGACGCTGTGAGAATTTTCCGTTTTGGAGTGGTGTTTTTTTTGCCTCCACTGAACTCGCCCCAAGTCTTTGATCATCAAAACGCGCAAATTTGGGCCAGGACGCCGTTTCAATCAAGGCCTGAACTGAGAGGCAATCATAAAAACATGTTGCAGTCCCCAACGCTCCGTCATCCAAAAAATCAACGGCAAGGGTCCTTTGCTGAAACATCTTTAAAGCTCAGTTTCCGCTTCTCCTCAGCACAATTCGGTGCTGGGCCGACCGGTGCTGTTCCAAACAAACCAATCGGTGGTGAGATGTGATATATAAATTGCTGTGGTGACACAGGTATGTGACATCAAAGAGTGGCCTGGAAATTATATACTAGGCAAAGCAGGGGAGGCAGGACAAGGGCACTGAAGGGAATGTAAACGGATGTAAGTGAAGGCCTACTTGTTTTATTTGTTTTTTGGGGGCTGGGGGGAGACTGAGAAGCAGAAAGGCTCAGGAAGCCTGGGGACGTGAATTCTGGGCCCGGAGGGTTCAGAAGCAAGGCAGGGTTGTCATGATACAAGGTATAAGAAAAGTGACATGAGCTTTCCGATATTTTTCTGGTCTACCATAAGGCACCAGCCCCCGCATACCTCTGCTGGGGAATTACTCCAGAAAACATATTCCAGCAACTCACGATACCCCCTGGAATAATTTCCCGGGTAATATATATATATACTGCAGTATATATTTACAATATAGAATTGAATGGAGAGAACTCATATCATAAAGAAACCACTGCGTTTCATGTCTTCCCCTCCCCTTTTTGTGTCACAGCAGCTGTATGTCTCGGCGGCACCAGCGTCGCAGGCCCACCGGGACCTACAGAGGGCGCAGGAGGCGCAGGCGGCGCAGGCAGCGTGCGGCCATGTGCCTTCGACTTCGGCTTCTGCGCGCGGCGTTGCGCCAATTTCTCCCAACTGGCTGCGAGCGCGCTGGTGGGAGACTTCATCCTCAGGGTGATGGAAGAACTGGTTTCACCAAAGCGAGTCCTTTGTCATGTTTCACGCTTGGAGTCTATAAAGAGATCGCCAGGGACTTCACAGCCACATGCTCCCTTGTGTACTCATGAGTTGTTCCACCCCATATAATTGCTCAAAGTTACTGACATCAAGCATGGCTTTGATGTAGAATAGAGGATCAGGAACTCCAAAAGCACCATGACCATATATGACCATGGTCAACATGGAATCAACCCAAGTCGACTCCCCAATTCCCACCAGTTGCTGATCCAGTTCCAAGTCTCTGCTTCCTCACTGCAACTGGCATGGCCTTGGCCTTGGCCTTCGGCCTTCCACCTAGGCGCCCCACCACCACCGCTCGTGCTGCAGGCCCGCGCGGCGCCACCAGTTGCCCCACAGAGCCCCGCGGCACTTTGTTCCGCGGCGCGGGCGGCACGGGCGGCTCGGGCGGCGGAGCGGAGGCCGTAAGGAGCCGCCCCACCGAGCCGCGGGGGAGCGAAGGCGGGTCCGGCTTGGCCTGGAGAGGTGAATCTGCTGATCCCTCTGGCAGCCTTAAGAGAACGGGAGGCTGGACAAATTGTTAGCATTTTATAAATTAACTTTCAACAATGAATCAATATATATATATATATTATTGACATAGGTTGTAATGGGGCAGGTGTCCAAAAGGTTCGCCCTTTCTGCATCAAACCTGTGCCTGCCAACCATTGCCAACGCAATCCTCATGGTACAAACCACCTGCCAAGTCTATTTAAGATGCATGGCCGGACCTGTGCTCCACTGATGCCCCATGCTTCTCCCGTGCCAAAAGCCGCCCCCTGCCTTCTCTTCCTTCACCTCCGTCGCCACGAGCCGCCCCACCGAGCCGCGTGGTGTTCCCTTCTGCTTGGCTCGCGGCGGTGCTTGGGGCTCCGCTGGGCGCTGGGCTTCAGGGCGGCCGTTGGAGAGCAAGCGTCCCACCGAGCCCCGCGGCATCCCCTTGGCCATGGCAGCCAGCTGCGGCCGCCCACACGTGGGCGGGACACCGAGCAGTGAGATGAGGGAATCACTGGAGAGTGAGTGAAATCGTGTGGATCTTCGACAAGCCTGGTGGAAAAAGCTGGGCTTTTTGGTTGTTTGAAGGACGGGTCTGAGCTGTGTGGGTGGAGAGTGATGTGCATAGAGTCAGGCGTTTCGGCGCTTAGGATCGCGTTGCTGTGTGCAAGTCGCATTTGCACTGAGCGAAAAACGGATTCAACATGATTCAATTTAATGTCTTATATAGCGTCCTTTTTTCACTCGCACCTTTTCTTGAGGAACTCTCTCAAACATCATATGACTACTCTATGACTCTAGGACTGTCGACCCTACACTCTCACATGGGGCCGACGCCGGGGGCCCTTGTGCCAAACCTCCTACTGTGCCAAATCAGCAAAAATCCAAGGGCCGGGACACTGCAAACGTGCTCAACACTGGCAAAGAGGCAAAGGATAAGTTATCTCTTTGGTTTCTTCTAAGTTCCAGCTCTAGAAACTAACACAGTTGCGGTAAGCTCTTCACCCGCTACTGCCAGCAGTGTATGACGTCCTACTTCTTTCATGGGGCATGGTCAGGTTACAAACTGACCCTCAACCCAAGGTGGTGGATTGCAAGATGGGGTCTGCTTGGACTCTAGGCCATTGGTTTTCATATCTTCAGATCTGTCCATCTCCAACCAATGTCCTTCATCCAAACTGTGCGATTGTCCGAGTGAATGGCCCAGTGGAGCCCACAAATACTCGATAATCAACGTGTATCTAGATGTGTACAGTATGTAGACTGCTGTTTGAAATCAAGGGTCCACATTCACCGTTCTCCATCTGCCTGTTCCTCTTTGATAGGGGTGTCCCCAATTCCCGGCAAAAAAAGGATTTGCAAGTGACCCACTTCTGTAGGTGCACTTCCCCAACTTGGTCGTGTTTCCCATCGCGGTGCAACTTGAACCTTTGAAGGATTAGTGAGGTCTCCAACAAATGGGCGGACCTGTCTACTTATTTCACTTCTTCCAAACAGTCTTTGGTTCCCTTCGCCTTTAGGAGGTCTACCTCGTTGAATGCACACCCAAATGTTGCCAAACTTGTGGCATCCTCTGCGGCCCCCAAAGCCTCAAAAAGGTGGTCCCGCCATGTCCCGACAAACTGATGCCACTCCTGAACCTAACAAAAACAACATAAAACAATAACACAATGGAAATGACAACAGGAAGACGAGCTCCGCAAGTGTTTTGACGCTCGTTTTCAAGTGAGTTCTACAGAAGAATCATCAAGAATCCATCACTTTTTAGGTGATCCAACAAGCCAATCTTCCCAAAAGCTATGGACATATCCTCCATTCGACCATTTCAACGCCCATTCGGACCTCTTGACCCAGTTGAATCATTAGCTGGACCTAAGCCAACAAATACCATGATATGACAAACACACACAAACACCTAGGAGCCAACGACGAAACGCCTCTCTACCGACGAAGAACCTCCACACTTCGCTCCCGCGCGTCAAGGCCACGCGGATGGCGGGCAGCCGGAGCGCCGCGAAAGCGACGCCACCTGCGTCGAAGAGGGCGGAAGCCGATGCGGAGAGAGATGGTGGCCAAAGGGCAGTTCAAAGAAGGATTTTTTTGGGGGGGGTTGGGAGGTGAATGGCACCTGGGGGGGTAAATGGGATATTAAACTGAAGAAACTCTTTCATACCATCCACTATAGCACCTCCTGAGAAAGCGCTTTGGAGATGCTTTGGGGTTGGGAGGATCAAAATGGATCAAACCTGGTCATGCCATGTCATCATCTGAGGATGGACATATGGTCTGCGGTTTGCGAAAACTGGAGGATGTGCAAAAAGGAAACCAGTGCAAGAAATATTGATATGCAAATATGTGCAGTATGCCTCTTTTCGCGGCAGGATGGGCAACACCACAGCATGTCTTGGGAACCACTGACGTTACACCAGGGAAGAGTAACACAAAAACCCTGAAATTGATCTTTGGAACACTATTTTCCTCTACAACCCAGTTCCATGTGTATCTTCCAGGGCTTACGACACACTCGGCGTTTTTTAACGCTGGACTACGTTGAATCTGTCCAGGCGTCCGCACGACGAGTGTCGCGCTGCAACATCAAAGCCTCGGCGGGGTGGAGGGTCATGTCAAACTCGACTGACGACGTGCCAGCATGCCAAACACCACTTCAAGGGGTGGCCAAAAGCACAAAAGCCATGGTTTCAGATCTGAAACCATGCCTCTCCGAAACCATGCCTCCAGCATTTGCATGGAAACTGTGTAAACTTGGACAGGCTCTGGAAACATGATAATTCGTCTCTATTGGGCTACCGTTCAGTTCGTTCTTCGAAGGGTGTGAGGGGTGATTCTCAGTCTGAACTGGCTCTACGCCTGTGGGCTTCTTGTAAGCACAATTTGGAACTGCAGTTTTGCATAATATGCACGCACGTGCATGCGCATGGTACACCGTTCGAATGGCCGCCCGTCACTCTGGTCGTTCACAAACAGCACCTATTCCAGAGTGGCCATGGTGCCATGGTGCTCTTGGTAGTGGAACGTCAGAAGCAAGGACCTGGTTGATTCATTTTGGCTCTCACACTGGCCGAATGACGAAGGTTGACCCTTGCACACGACGCTCAGTTCTCCTGGGGCTCAGTTCTCATCTTTCAATCCTGCAGCATCCACCTGCATCTCGCAATCACATCGCAGGGCAGGCTGCAGGCTCATCTTCGGTGCAGTCGGGTCCTGTGGTCAGCTGCGGGCGACTCTCCAATAGGTCAAGGTCACAAAGTTCGAACCTCGGCTACAAAATGGACCTGGCCATGAGGGATTCCAAGAGGATCTTTGGGTCAATTCTTGATGGTCACCAAGAATGAATACAACATCCTATGAATATGCAGGGACTACTGCAGGGACTGTAAGATCATCAAAGCCCGAGGGATCCAGTCATACCTCCTCAGAAGGTATGACTGGACCCTCCTGGCACCCGGACCAAACAACTTCTCAGAAGTAGGTAGGACCGTGGGAAGGTGAACCTGTGTTCTCTAAACATCTATACGTCTTGCGATTCGCCCCCAAAACACCGGTACTGGACGATACCGAAGCTGAGGCCAAAACATCCGCGAGGCCAATTACTGACGCTTGCGCGTCATTGTCCAATGACAATTCAACAATTGTCAAAATCGCATGTACCAAAACATATAGCATATATAATAGCTATATATTATTACACAAACAATATTCAATATTGCATGGGTCTTGGTAAGTTCATTTTTAAGTGGCTTTCCTTTCCTTGCATCAAGTGCTGGTTGCTCCTGCCTTGCGTTGGCTGTGTGGTTGAGCCCCAGGGTCGTTTGGGGGGGTGGTTGGGTTGTTTTTCTTGCAAATCAGCAACTCCTCCAATTCGTTGTCTTCCACCTGCTCTGCAGGTATCTTCTCCTTGTCAGCATCCCTCAGGATTTTGACCAAGTCATCACTGATCACCTCTGGCCACTCCACATGAAGAAGGACAAACCTTGGCTGTTTGATGCTGCGCAAGCGCCGGTTTCCCGAAAAGGAATCAGAAGAGCCTTCTCAAAACAATCTGGGCTCCATAAACGGTTTCTCTCAGTCTATGCCTATGCCATCCTCATAAACCCAAACACCCGGTTCTGTTCTGTTAAGCAGCAAATCACCTCTTCGACCTGGTCGTGACATCTGTGGCATGCCCTCGTTCAAGATGGCACGCTGCAATGGGCCAGTCCTTTCTGGACAAACGAACAAAATGCATCCTCGAGTCGGCGTTTGGTTTTCCAGCAAAGCTGTACGATCCTGCGCGCGGAAATACGCAGCATTCTCCCAATAGGTGAAGCCCGACCAGCCATTGCGACGGCAAAACTCTTTGCAAGACTCTAAATCACCTGATGTTGCGAAAGGAGGGGAGTCTCTTGATCATAGACATGCCATGCAACTTCGGAATCACTAGAGCACACCCTTGCCCCATCAACCGCAGGGAAAAGGACAACAAATTCAACAAAAAGACTTTTGAAAGGCTATATACTGGTTCTTGGGAGCCACCCCAAATTGACAGAGTGCAGCAAACATAAACTACAAAGCTTCAAAAAGCTATATATATAGTATAGTATAGCTGCTAGTGTAGCTTCCTTGAAATTATTTTGCCAGTTGCTCGTCTTGATGATCGTTGCGTCCTGACCGGCAAAGGCATCCATCCCATCAAAGCGAAGCCACCTGACCGTGCGAAGCCTGCTTTCCAACAGGTTGATCCATGCAAAGCAATCTGGTCCATGTCTGGTGCCTTTTGGGGGTACAGATTTTGGTTGAGAATCTGGTAATGAGTTCATACGTGGGAAAGACTGTGTCCCTCTACAAACAACATGGTGTTCCACCTCCAAAACACATGGTTTTCCATGGTTTGACATGATTTGTATGAACCGGAGGGTGGCTTCTTGAGAGTGATGGTCTCAAAAAAGGAGCACCAAAGGTTATCAAAGGTGCCTTCATTTGGTTACTGTAACCACTTTAGACCGAAAAAGGCCATGACAAAGCTGTGTTTGATTGTGCTTGGAGGTTTCAACATTCAAAACAAATCCGACATGACCATCCAAATCGATGGGAAAGCAAACCATCCTTAAACACGCCTTGGAAACAATGACACTACCTACCTATGTACCTACGCACCTACCTACCCTTGAACGATCTTGAACGTTCCGATCCTAGCCGGGGAGGCTGCTTCTCCTCCGCAATCGGATCTTGAATCCAAGGCACTTGTGGTCCAACTCTTCGTCGCGAGGATCCCAAACTTCTCCAGGCCGGGCATGAACCAAAAGCTTTTGCCCATCCAAATGCTCGATGACCAGCGGACTGCCGGCCAATGCCTCGACCAACGAGGCATCTACGTCAGGTCAGGAGCATCCGAGTTTCGGCGTCTTTCTAGCAGGCTCCTCTTGAACCCATGGCGGTGTTCATTCTTCTTCCTCATTATGACATTGTACATATCCATATATATATATATGTATATAATTTGGATATAGTATGCGTTACTATATAAATTAATATGCATGGTTGCATAGTGAGAATCAACAAAAACACTGCTGGAACTCTTCTTACGAACACCCAACTCTCAAGTTGGCACCTCACGCGTTCGTTCGCCTTCAGTGTTTGTTCTCATGGCGCCTTTCCCTCACACTTCAGCACCTTAAGACGTAAACGGCGAAACAAGGGCGGCGCCAACACATCTAGTGTTCATGTTCCAAAGCAGTCTGTGCTTGCTATCATGGGTTCAAGTATTCCACCATAATTTGGGTCCATGTATGGAATTCTATAGAGTCTTCTTATCTTTTGCTAGGTGAGTCATCCTCTCCGCACCCGTGCCTCGTAGAGGGAGATGCTCTTCTTCACGAAGAGGTCAGCTCCTCTTCGCGCCCAAGTAGGATGAGGCAGCTCCTGCAGGACGAAGATCACGTCCCCAGGACCGGCCTTGCCCGTGAAAGTGATGCGGTGTCCATCAGGTGCACCACGTGGAATAAGGACCTCGTGAGGTCCCGGGCCGAAGAGTTGCGGGAGTCAAAGGTTCTCAGTGATCTCAAGATGGCATATGATGATGGCATGGCCATGGAATGCCATGCTTGGCCTCTTGGAAGATGATGTTGGTATGCTTGTTGGGAGTGTGAGGCGTGAGAGCATCTGCTTCCAAGCATCTGGAATGTTGTGCGGCGACTGATCTGAGTTAAAGGTTACCCCCTGCAAACGAGTACGACTATCATGGACGGATCTCAACTGCTAATCCTATTGAGTGCCAGTTTCAGGGAACAACTCTGTTGGACAAGCCCCATCCTCCATCCCGAGAATGCATCCGCCTTTGATAGATCTGGGGCAGTTTTGGGGTGCAGGAGCGGTGGTGGGCGGTGTCTAGTCTAATATGTAGTATATATGTATGTATATTATATATACACTGTATATTCATGTCAAATCGTGTGTAGCAAAAAGATTCAAATGTCATTTGTTGGTCAACAAAGTTACTTCGAAGCTGTCTTGGAGCAAAGTGAAGCCTGCTCTCTTCAGCTCTTGGCGGTTCACCTGGATGTGTCGGATGGCGCCACACACCAACTGCTCCAAGGGGACATGCAAGGGCAGGATCACATCCTGGGCACATTTCTCTTGCCGAACACCTGTCCCGCGGTTTTCATTCATTTCCATCCACGGACGTCGAAGAAGTCCAAACATCAAACAGGATAAACCATATGTTGGAGGCTCGGAAAGGAACAACAGTGTCACTAGTGTCACAGCTCATGCAAACGAGCACCTCGATTCTTTGGTCGACCCCTTCAGCATTTATTTGGGGAGATGCTGAAAACTGATCTGCAACATAATCCCAGGCATCCCTAGACCTCCTCGCAGAAGGCCTTGGCAAGGATGCAGCTTGCGAAGGAGCAGCCATTGCGACGGATATTCCACCCAATCAGCCATGAGGAGAGCGAAGCAGTACTTGAAGGCGTCGATTGGTTCTGAAGGAGTTTGATGTTCTTGCCGGCCTTGACCAGTTCATTTTACTCATTGGCACTGTCACAAACAAAATCCGCTCATGGCCAGCAGTGGCCATGACATTTGGACACAAACAAATCCTCCGCATACGTGAAGGAAGACCTAAACATATCTTACACCAGTTAGGAGCCAAATGTCAGTAGCCAGTCCAAACATGTATATATATATATACATAGATATACTCATATATATATAATATATATATATATAGATAGATAGTCTGACAGTAGCTGAACACTTCCCACGCGACAAATCATTCTTATCATGGATGTACACAGGAACAAACACAGCATCATGGCGTGGCTCATGGTGGCTCACGGTCGAACAAAACATACATCACCTCGCACCGTGCACAGCTTTCTGCGCTGCTATACGGTTGCGCCTGGTCTCCAACAACCAATTTTTGGTTTTGGAAGGCTTCACATGAAATCAACTCGGCCAAGGCAGGCTTCTTGCTGCACCTCCAACAAAATATGGAATTCAATATTGTCAGTGCAGTAGATTGTAGGCATCCTCTAAATGATGACCGTGTCTCTATCCAAGTCGAAGCAATCATGGTACAGTACCACGAGGCCAGCACGGTGCAAGTTTTGGCTGAGCACTGATCCTGTGAAACATTCTCGTTCGTAGGGACCAGGCTAAGTCTGAATGAGAAGTGCAGCTTGCACACACAAAGTGCTTGCAAATCCAAAAGGGAGGCGAACCGGACTCGCTGGCGGCCATGGTTATACCGACATCACTTTTTTGGTGCCAAATCTCCACTCCACATGTCTAGCCTGCTAGGGTCACTATGGGTCACTGGCCCTCGCCCTTTACAAGCCCCTTTCTGGGCAGATTTTGGTTGCTTTTCCATCCCATGTAGTGAAACATATGGACTCCGTCTGGTCTCTTCCGGTTTTCGTTTGTATTTTGCGCTACAGCGGTACAGTATGCATTCCTTGACGCCATGTGCTTCATTGACCGGTACCCACTGCAAATGATCTCACACAGGTTGCATCCCGGTCAAGAAAGTTGTTCTTCTTGGGTAGAAAGCCGTAAGCCTAGTGCTCTGACTTCAACTCGACCAATTCGCACTGGGTCACTGGCTGCAAGCTGCTTGGACTGCACCCAGTGGATACAAATCCTCAACCTAAAGACCTTTTCAGCCCCATTCTATTGGACAATTAGTCTTGTGGGAACTGTATCGAATTTCTGGTGATCCACTCTCCGGACAGTCTGCTTGCTGCGTTCCGCAGCGTGGAGATGGCTTGAGGTAGGCTTCACACGTGCAAGAGTTGGCTGCGGACAACTCACCGAACGACCTGATGCTTGAAAGAGGTGGAGAAACAAACACGAGAAGAAGCTAAAGCTAAGCATGCGCACTTGAGATATCAATAACAGTAAGGATTCCTCAATTATTGCCCATGAATGTCCAAACGCTTTGCTGCCGTTTTTGTGACCGCAACCATCCGCTCGAAGCCGGCCCTCGCGCCATCGCTTGTTTCGCCGCCTTCGTCGCACCAGCCCGGGTGCGGGCGAAGGGTGAAGGCATCTTGAGGTGCCAGCGCTGCACCCCAGGCGTGGGTTCGCGCCGCGAAGGGACGCGAACAAAAACCTGCGTTCTTTCAAACCCTCTGCAGGATGGTGAACAAGGGAGACGTACAACATCACGTCACCAGCAAAAAGGATGTTCTGAAAGCAAAGAGACCACATTGGCCTGCTGTGTAACGGCTCCTCCCAGCAGTGGGAAACATGATGGGTGCAAACCACCGCCCGTGCTCTTGGCTTTCGGGAAGCACAAAGGGATCAGTGCTGATAACATACAAATCTCCATACGCCGAAATTATCCACACGACCTTTCTGCAAGGGTCAGAACCCAACCACCACTTGGGAATTGAGCCACGAGTTGCTGGAACCGTGTGTCCGATTATAGCTGCCAAACATGGCCACCTACCATCTATACATGCCGAGGGGCGGATTCATTTGGGTCATCCGAGCTTCACTTGGGATGGTGGGCCAGTCACTGGCCCCGAGCTTCATGGTACGTCGCACCCAGCACTCCAAATGTTAGCTCTAGCCCAGACACTCCATGGGACTGCCATAAATGCCGATCAGTTGGGGTGGTTTGAGGGGTCAATGTAGGCATAACATGGAGTGTCTGGGTAGGGAGGGAAAATTTCCAAACTTACCTTCAGTTCTGCTTGCTATCGAGCCTCCAACACACTCCTGGTCAAGCATCCTGCCAGCAAGAACCCCACAGGGTTCTGATTACCACTGCCAAGAATGGACTGGGCACTGTACAAACTGTAGACTCTTCTCGACTTCTCCTCCATCGTCGTGGCGAAAAAGAGAGCACTCGACATTCGATCGAATTTTCACAGATCAGTTCCCTCATAGATGCAGTGCAGCGGTTGCTTCCATGTATTTAGCAGCGCACGTCTCTCACTTTATGTGATTCCGTATTCCTTGACAAATCTGCAATCCACATGACCATGAACAATCATTGGACAGTAAACTCGGTAAACATCAGGTCATTGGTGTCCTCATGTCCAATCTTGAACTGTGACTGTGACTTAACAACGTCCTTAAACAGCTATTTTCTACTCACTTTGGAGAGCCATCTCCTCGCCCATAGAGGGAAAACGAACGAAAAGCCCCTAGGCCGAAGCATTGTCGACAAAATGGCGCTCGGCGCTGCTCAACCAGTGGACTTGACACCTCCCCGAAAAGAAGTCTTTGGCTTTTGTTGGTGAGGGGTCTTCACACAAAGCGGATGTGTTGTCGCCCACCGGCGTTTTGGACGCCAATTACTGTAGTTAGAAAGTGACCTGCTTCCGGAAGACCACCCTGGCATCCGTCGAAACTTCCGCTGACCCTCTGTGACAGATGCCCGCAGGTGCTTCATCCCTCAGCTTGGGCCAGTCCAAGCGAATGGCACGATTTGCTACATATAAAAAGTTCAGTGCACGGCCACGTGCTGCCCATGCGAGCCTCATCGGACTCAGTGACTGAACTAATAAACAGTGCACAATAGTGCACATGTTTTATGTGCATGTGTTGCTCTGGTGAGCCTCAGGTAGCTATGCAGAGCTCATTCCTCGTGTTGCCCCTCTCTGGGCAATAGCACCTAGCCTCAAATGAAACCAGGCACTCTGCTTGAAGGAAAGGGTGATCATATGTCAAACATTGAACATCCTGTCTTGTTCCTTTGTATATGTGTTCATTCTATATGCATATAAAATTGCACATGTGCACACTACAGTATGTCTTCATTTTTTCTTTCTTTCTTTCTCCGAGCGGCAATGAGACCTTGTCAAAGCCTGCATGGCACGCTTGCACCAAGCCTCAGCCACCCATTTCGGTGCTCCGCCCGGAACTTCGTCGGAGATCCGACCGGCGAACGAGTTGGGCGATTCTAAGACCTTCGGACTCCGAGTGGCAATGGAATTGCAACACATGTAGATAAAGGAACATGGTCGTCCCAAAAAACATCGACTTCCATGTTAGTGACTCGTAGGGCAAATATATACATAGAGAGAGAGAGGAAAAAACAAAGGCTCCAACAAGTGCCCTCTCAAGCAGCAAACAGCTACGGCGAAAGAAAAAAACACCTTTCTCAAGATGAAGTCTACGGCATGCTTTGCGATGCTTTGTGCTCTGTATCTCTTTCTGATGCAGTCGCCAGCGCCGGGCACATCGCCCGGTCCCATGGTGCCTCACTTCCGGAGCCCACATGACAGCCCTCATCTCCTGCGCCGGGCGGCCATTTTCATCAAAGATCAAGGACTGAAGCTCTTCGTTGAAGCGTTGCCTCGCGAAGAGCTAGCACCACACTACCACACTCGTTGTTCGTTGGTCTTTCTTTGGCTACACGAAGGGCGGTCATGAATGGGTTTTTGATGGTTTTTGCACATTGACATGTAGTACCTCCCTAGTAGCAATGGCCTCCAACCTAATAGTATTGCTATAGCTTACACCGTATCAGTGATGATTCAGTCTGTGTACCAATTGGATGGAAGGAATGAACCAGCTCCTTGACCAAGCTCATGAATCCTCATGCACCCCCCATCAATAGGGTTGTGTCCCTTCAGCCAACCACCTCCTAGCAAAGCCCCAGCCTCTGGGAAGCTTGGGGCTTTGCAAACGAATCACCAACAACTTGGTGAGAATCATCAGGTCATCAACTCCAGGCCAGCCCCAACCCCCCAAAAAGAAGGAACCAAACGGGTCATTGGATGGTCCAAGCAAGGCCTTAATCCGACCTTCTCCCAGGGCCCATGGGATCAAACCACCGCGATGGACTGAAGCATCGACCCGATGCGAACCGATGGCTCTGCGGCTTCCGGTCCCGGGACTCCATGGTCGCCGTGGTAGACGAGCCTGCCAATGAACTAGTTCTATCCCTCTATATAGAGCTCATCTCCAAATGAGAGTCTCAACATGATCGAATATGTGCACATAGCTCTAGACTCTCTCAGCCACACCATGTATATAATTTCATTGAGTTGGGCTGTGCATCAGGACCTGGAGAAGGGACAGAACAAACAACTGAACGATTTCCAGTGGGAGCCCAACTCTTGGCTCCATATCGCTGGTGAAGCTTTGGGGGGGTGCATTGCCAAACTGGAGTTTGGACCTTGTAAAGGGAATGTTATGATTTTTGGAGGTTTTTACATGTGTTTCCTACATAGACTCCTTGAAATCACATCGAACCTAGGCAAAACTGCCAGTCCCAAGTGTTTATTTTTCTCCGCCCAGGTTTCGAAGCGGTTTCCTGTTCTGCTTTTCAGCTGCTTTTCCACGCGGCAACGACCCGTGGAGAACATCACATTCAAAAAGCACGTCGCCCCGGATCCGCCCGAGGGGCTTATCGTCAATCTTCGCCAGGATCAGCTCCGTATCCTCGGTATATGCGGCGGATACGTAGGGCCGAGGATACGTAGAGCGACCAGGGGATGAGTGGCCACTAGTCACTAGTGATTGAGTAGATGGCCAGGAAGCATTTTAAATGATGTCTAATATATATATATATAATTATATATATATATGTGCGGCATATTGCGGTACATTATAATACGGATTCACTTGTGTTTGTCACAAATAGCAGGGTATGAAGGACTTAACTTGCCACAATGAGGTGCCTCGTCAAACGTATTCATACGCAAGGGGTGGTGAACACATCCCTTCTGGAGGATGCGGTGTGGAGGACCAGCTCCAAATGACAAAGTTCAACATACCAGGAGTCACAAAATTGTGGCTCTTAGTCTCTAAGTGAGTGGATCATGGACACCCCAAACCTCCATTAAGCACCCCTTTGTGACTGCTGGTAGGTATGTAAAGTCCAGCAGCAGCAGCAAAGCAAAAAGGTAGCAGGTAGCAGCAGCAGCAGCAGCAGCAAACGAGCAGCAGCAGCGGGGCCGGCGGGAGCGGCAGCAGTGGCAGCAACAGCAAAGCAGAAGCTGCAGCACAGCAAAGCAGAATGCGGCAGTAGCAGCAGAGTGGCAGCAGCCTTTGCAACAGCAGCAGTAGCAGCAAAGCTCACACAAGTTTGGTCATGCTTTTCGTTCAGTTTCGGGGGGGTTGTGCAAACGAAATTGAAAGAGGGTGGAAACTTGTCATGGTCGAGGGCAAAGAAATAAGAAAGCACCAACAGTGTCCGCCCTGAAAGCCCCAACACAGGCAATGCACAACCACCCAGCAACAGCAGCCAGCAAAGCAGCAGCAGCCTTCAGGATTCAAGCAACAGCAGCAACCAGCAGGAGGTAGCAACAGCAACAGCAGCAGCCAAACAGCAGCAGCAACACCAGCAACCAGCAGGAAGTAGCAGCAAGTAGCAGCAGCAGCAGCAGCAGCCAGATCACTCCCAAATTCTCAGCGGCGCAGGGTGGAGTCAAATGGGCCCCTTCCTCCCAACAGTTCATAACCAATTTAAAACCATCGAAATCAGCAGGACCACTCCACCACCCCCAATATCATATTGCTAAAGAGAACTCAGGTAGCCAAGGCTACCTTTGGTGACATACCTGCACATGTTGTGTTAGGATGCTTCCCGTGGGCTCACTTAAACCTCAAAAAAGAAACAAACATTGGATGGGGTGATTGAAAGCCATGGGTGCCACTCCATGTTGTTCCTTTCGGACAATTCTTGTCTTTTCATCTTGCGACTGTATGAATCAAGGAAAGTCACCAAACTGTTAAACAAAGGCTTCCACAATTCAACACCTTCAAGTCGGCGGGGGGAACAATGGGTAGCACACCGAGTAACCAATACTTGACATGTTGACTCGTGCTCATGCACTGAGTCATGCACCTTATGTTGTGAACAGTTTCACTTGTCTAAAGTCTAAGGGGACGGAGATACCCACATATATACTACATACAAACCAAGACGTCAAAGGAATCTTCTTAGAAGCTACTAGTAACAAGGGCATCGCAACACTTCCAAGATGGGACTGGACCACTACCGACTACCGAATGGCCAACTACCCCACCGGGTCTCTGAAGGGTTTGAAGCTTTCATCTGTTCCACCTGCGTCCGGCGTAAGCGACACCCGAAGGGTCGAAGCGACGGAGGCACGGCGGGGGCCATGGGTTGCGGTGTAGGTCTTAGACCCACCAAAGGGAAAGTCCTGGCAACTGGGAAAATGCTGTCTGGAGATATTGGCCCGCCCTTGTCGAAATGGTTGGTACTGAGAGTCCCCATGAGAGAGAGAGAGAGAGAGTCTAAAAGCGATGGCCTCCCACCTACTAGCGATGGCCTCCAACCTAGAACCGATGGCCTCCAACCTAATAGCAAAAAGTGGCCAAGTGGAAATACTCTGACTACACTGTTCATAATTGGTAACCTTCCTCAGCCGGCCTCCAACACGACGCCCCTCCACACAACTTGCGTCTCTCCGCTGGAAATCAAATGCTCACCCTGTTGTGAAACACATCACTTCATATCATATTAACCCCCTCACAAGGCCTGGAAAGCTCTAGTGATCTAGGTGCCACATAGCTCATGGTCAGTGGTCACCCTGTGAAACCGGGTGAGCCTTCAGCAAGTGCAGCCATTCTTCCTCAGCCACATGCTTGCACCCGATCAACTCTCCAAAAGACATACACCGGGGAAGATTGACATGGAACCTGACAATTGACCTTTGAAAGACTTATTTTCCGCAAGTTCAGCCAGCTTGAACGCCGGAATGCTCCAACCAGCCAGGCGTTGTGCACATCGGTGATTCAAATGTTCTCCGCTTGTTTCAGGCGACAGTTCCAGACTTTCAGCCAGTCACCTTCGACACGCAAGGGCTGTCCTGAAACAAAAGGCACCATGGCTTCAAAAATTGAGGTCACTAGAGGCACCTCCTGCGATTTCAGGACCTATCCACTTCTCCTCTAATGTTGGCTGGTTCATCCAACTCCCCCTGGCGCCCTGGAAATTCTTGAATTCTTGGGCTTGAGGGGGTTGATTCATCAAGACCAAAAAAGCAAACTATGTCACCCGATTCCCGATAGTTCTCCGCTTCCTACCCCAATGAACAACTCAGCCAGGTCTCGTGCTCTCTCAGATTGCCCTCTGAAAAGATGCCTGGGCGGCAGCGCGTTTTGTGGCGCTTGGCGCTGCTGGTGCGGCCGGCACCATCTCCAAGGTTTCTCAAGTGCCCCAACAACGGGGAATGAGGTTAAAAACCATGAACAGATGAACACCTGTTTACTCAGTTTACTCCGAGTCCTATTTCACAGAGTGGTTCATTTGGGGGCTGTTTTGAGGTTGCACAACTCCGGGAAATCCCCTGGGTCGACCTCCTTTCTCCACCCAGCTCCGTGAATCTTCCAGTTTCCTAGGAAGATGCAAATTGGGTCACATAGCTATGCTCTTCCATTAAGCTTCCTATATCAGGCCGTGGTTCCACCTATAACTCTGCAACATTGGGTCACATAGCCCAAATGCTTACTAAACGGATTTCTGGATCTACTCCAGGAGTCTCCACTCATACCCCAACACAACTCCGACTTCTCATCCCACAGTGATTTCTTGTCAAGCCGCTCATGCGTTGCGCCAGGCGCATGGACTGTGCCCGATGGATCTCGGCTACACACCAGGCGCGGGTAAACAGCTTGAAGTCACGATCCACGGCAATCAGCTGGCTAAAGCGAGGGTTGAAGGACGCGATGCAGCCTTGAGCGAAACGAGAAAGGAAAAGGAAGGGTGACAAACGACCGGCCACGAAGACGAGGTCCCTTCTCTTGAGTGAAACTACTGAAGAAAACTGACGAGGTCGGTGAGTTATCTCACTGCACGTCCCACCCTTAGTGATGGTTCAGCGTTTCGGCCGATGCATCTAGGTCTAGAATGTACATACACCCAACCGCCATTAACTTCCCATCATCTCCTCAGCGCACAACTGCCAGCTAATTACGTGGCAGGCAACTCATCATGTCATCGAACTTGTTCATCTCGCAGTTGACGCTCTGCCTTGGCTCACTGGGTCTGGCTCAGCACGTAGGAAACCTTCGGCAGTGCCTGCATATGCCTGCATCCTGGTCCCAATCCCGAGTTGATCTAGATTTACTATTGGTTTATTTATTTTTATTTCAGTCGGTGGCATTTGGGGGGATGCTTTTCATCTGGCATCCAGGGCCAGTCTTTTGCATCTAACATCCAGGAAGGTTAAACTAAACGCGCCTCATATGAGGGCTGGAAGAGGGAGAGAAACCCTTCTGAGTCGCACCCCTAGCAAAAAAAATGAAACATGTATTCTGGAAATGCCATCTGCCTGTTGGGAAGGCCCATCGTCTTCGGTTTTCTTTTGCCAAGTATAGCGACGGCGACTTATGCGACTTTTCGAGGGCTCTAAGAAAGCTGTTACAATCTCCAAGGCCCAAACTGAACGGCAGAAAAGCCTGTGAGAACTGTGAGGATTTCTTAAGTGGCAGGAATCGGAACACACATTCCACTTGCGGAATCTTCTGAATTCCATAGTGCGTACATGTAAATTGACATGGACTTAGGTGTTAAACTCTGTCCTTGCGGCGGGTTTGAAGACCCAAACCAATCATCCCAACTGGAAACAAGTGGGATTGGAGTTTCCCAATTTGATCGTTGCACTTCCGGACCTTTCACCCCTTTGGGCTCCGTTGTCCGAAGCTGGGCCAACGGAGTGGGAGCGGGTCTAACTACCAACCGCAGGGCTCCAAGCGCCGGCGGGACTGGGGACGATGGATTAGGCCGAACCGTCTTTCCTCCGCATCCCGAGCGTCCCATCCCTCAGCGGCTCGGTATCACTCCAGTATTTCCTCGGGGCGAATGGATCATCGACCCGACAGGCGACGAGGGGAGACACACGCATTTGGGTGGTCATCACATGGAAAATAACTCATGTTATATAGCTACGATCTATCCTAATGCCTGTATTCAGTGGATGATGATGGCTAGTAAAGGCCTTGTTCAACAATATAAATTTGCTTGTGTACTGACTGTTGCAGGTAAGAACGAACAAACCCAGTTTATATAGCAACTAATGTACATGAGGATGTGCACACCTGATGAAGTGATATGCAACGTCCGTTGCTCTCTAAACTTCCTCCGTTGCTGTACAGTGCCCTTGACTGGAACCAATGACGCTTTTCCCAACGGTTGGGACGTTCTTCACTGGTGATTCACCACCCGGCCGCGAACCATCGGGAGGTTCAGCCAGATTGATCTGTTGCAATTGGCCGTCTTGAAATGACCCCACCGGTCTGCATAAAGAAACATGTCTTCACATGTCTTTCTATGTCTTTCAATTTTGTCTTTTTAATCATCTTCCATCTTCTTGCCACCTGCTACCGTCAGGAGGCCTGCGTCACTGGAAGGTTTCACTTGCTGGGTGGATGTCATGCGTCGGGAAGCGCGCGCCACACAAGCAGGGGTCGACGTCAAGTCCGTATGTTTGCATCGGTTTGTATAGTCAAGTCCAGCCCCATTGTTTCATCGCCACAACCCCACATGCGACGAATCCAAGTCAAACATGATCCAAGCCATCATGCCCACCGAACGATGTCCAGCGATACTGGACCGATGTCCTGTCCAGTCTTTTAAACGCATTCACTTTCCAGGACTTTCAGATCTGGGAAGAGTTGAATAATGAATCAACCGTCCTGACACATGTGTAAACTAACATACCTTTACGTGACATGTCCTTCTTTGGAACCCATTGGGGATCTTGTGTTTGATAGCTTGTCACTTGTGCAATTGAATAGCTTGTCACTTGTGCAATAGAATTATTAGCTCTCAAGAAGCTCTCAAGAGAGAGCTATCCAAGATTGTTGTTAGTCAATTGACCGTCACCGTGGGATGTGTTCACTCTCAACCACACGTTGCATCTTCCAGTCTTCCATGTGTCTTCCCAGCAGGGTGCTGTCCCATCTCGCTTCCCTTCCACACGGCCCCTGATCGCCACCCCAGCGGCGGATGGTCACAAGCACAGGGCATCGGACTGCGATGGGTCACCGGGTCCATCCGGGGCATCGAGTTGCAAATCCCTGCGTGCCTCGGCTCGGCACGGCGTTCGGTCGCGCACCGGGACGGACCGAAAGACGTCGTTGGAGAAGACCGTGGGGCGGGGCGAAAAGAGTGTGCTTGGGAAGGGCAATGAGTGAGGTCAAATGAGCTGTTCCTTTTGGGGTGCGACGAAGCAGTGAACTGCGAGCAGCTTCTTTCGGTGGGAAAGGCTGAAGTGGGCAGGAGGAAGCTGCTTGCAGTGGTCGTGTTTGTTGCCCGCATTCTGACAGCAAACCGCAACGGCTGGAAAGAAAAGAGTGAACCGCTTTGGGTCAACATATCAGTTTCCCTGGAATTAATATTGTTATGTAACCTTTTTCCACCAGCTTAGTTGGGAAGCCGCTCCCCAAGAAAGATTAAAGATTTAAGATTATGCATTGACTTGACTGGGTAGGAGTGAATACCTCATCACCTGACCTTCTCCGCCAGTCGCCGAAACGATGGTGCCATGAAGGCTAGTGCAAAACGACCATCGATTCAGCGCCTCAAAACGACGAACACGCGTCCGTCATTGGGACAGCCCCAGGCGCTGGTTCACGGCGAAGCAGCAAATCCAGTACTTGGTCTCGAGCTTGTTCTTCCAGTACAGCCTCACAAAGTGGATCCTTTGGACCTTTTTAAGGCATCACACGCCGTTCTAAGCAGAAAAAACACTCCTGCTGTTCAATAAACACTTAATGTCTACATGGACATGGCAGATCCTTCTTTGGTCTGCAAGAGTTCACAGCCCCAAATTCCTTGATACACTTGTTCACTGGTAGAGATGTCGGCGGTTTCCCCGCCGTCACAGTTCGGACCTCAACAACCTCCCTGCCCCATGCGACCATTAAACAAACGGGCTCTGACAAGCGAATGGCGACTGGTCTCAGCATCGGGACACAACGGAACGGGAGGACACGAATGGTGGTGAAGTTGAGCTCTGCTCTCCTGGTCAACTATTGAATTTAGATAATATATATATATATATGTTATGTAGAGAAATCATTGTAATATGATATATACTATGTATTGTATGTAAATATAGTATAAATATAGATCGGTATAGATCGGTAAAGATTGGATGGATGGATGGATGGATGGATGGATGGAGATAGAACAGGATAGGATAGAGTAGGACAAATTAAATAGACTATATCAAGAAATTTTTTAAAACAGACTCTGGATAAAAATTGACTCTGGGATGTCTTTGGGAATGTTTCTAATAATGTAGTATTTCAACACCAGCACCCCAGCACAGCCCCTGAGCAAAGGCTGTAGGTGGCAGCCTGTCAGAACACAAGTCAAATCCAGATTATCGTGTGAGAATGAACACAAAACTGAACCAAAGCGCAGCCACACACTTTTCTCACATAGTCCGGCGGTCTCGGGGTTGCAACTACTTGAAGGCTATGAGACATCTCCGGTCATGGAGATTTCTACACAAGAGCATCAGCTTGACTTCAAGCGGAAAGAACAGCATGAGAACCTCAGTACCACACCAAGGCTCATCAAAAAGTCCGACGCGAGCCCACTCAGCAAAAGCAGCATCTGTGGAAAAGGGCTCAATCCTTGGCTTCGCAGACTCAGTACCCATAAATCCTGTCTATGCAAACTTGTCATTGTCAAGACTAGAGTCGGCTCAAGGCAAAGATCTTGAGGCTGCAAAGCCTCCACAAAGCGACTCATCTCCTCCGCTGACATCAGGTCACTCTTCCACATCATAGTGAATGGGTATCGAACACGTTCACCCATGTTGCACAGTGACTCCCCACAAAGCCTTGATCCAAAAACTGACACATGACTGTCAACAGCAACAAAGCTTGAGTCCGGAGGACAAAAGTCGGATCTGAACCTTTTGAAGCTCAGGGCATCAAACAGTGAGTGCGGGAGCTTGTGCCGCCAGCATTGGCGGGTCGAGTCCGGCGGACAGGACAAGGTTTGAAGCTCCCCAAACAAAAGGTGGGGACCAGATCAGGGGGGTCTAGATCGGCTACCTGTTCATTTGATGTGTAGGGGGAAAACTGGGAGAATGTGTGGGAAAGTGTTTTGCGCTTTCTGCCGTTGATCTTCGCAAAAACTAGAAAATTTCTTTCGTATGCAAATTTAACTTTAGCTGTCTTTGTTGTTGTCTGGTAGATCTTATGTTGAATTTGTAAAATCTTTGCGTACCATCTATTAGATGTAAATGTTTTGCCTTGTATCAAGTGTTTGGAGCCTTCGTTCTTTGTCGATGTGTGGTGATGTGTTGTGACCTACACTTAAAAACTTAGACCTTCCTTTGAACAGGTTTTGCGTGGCCTTGTCGCTTTCCGCCGGACATCACATCATGACACGCGATCATGCAATCATTTTTTACTTCGCCGGACTTTGCAAAACAAATATTGAGCTTGTTAAGTTTAGATTATAGATGTTCACTGCGTTTCAAAAACTTCTAAAAAACAGCACACAAACACTAATAGGACGCCATTCGATTTGCTTTGGAAGCGCTATGGGTTCGTCAAAAAAAACTCATTACAACAAAATCAACTTGACCGCAACAAATGAAGCCATGAACAAGTACACAACTCAAAGCAAAGCTGAGACAACCAAATTGTTGTTTTTTCTATTTCGCTTTTTTGACATGGGGACATGGCTTCATTGGGCGGCTGCCTCAGAATTGAACATTGCGCTCAAAGACTAAATTAGAGTCAGGGTCCGTTTGACGGAACGTGACTAACCGTAGTCAGTCGAGTCAGGCCGGTAAAGTCTGTCCTGCTGCTTGCTGATTCCCAGAGAAGATGACAGAAGGCACTCCCTCATCATCGTAGCGCTGGACCCCAAGCTCCTGGGTCACAGTTCTTGGCTATCACCCTAGCAATGACACTTCAATGAACTTGGCCCGACTTGTGCCAATACCGTACCCAATAATATAATTTGGGGCACCAACATTATGTGATGTCATTGAATCATATGAGTAGTTACTATTATTAGTATTAGTCCATACGCCTGTCCTGTTCTGCAAAGAGATACTTCTCTTCCGTAGTCCCCCAGTCTTGAACGTTGAACCCATGCTCTGTCAAGAAGGCATCCAGGGGCTGCACCTCACCTTCATTGTAAAGGTCCGTGTAGCGCTCTTCCTTTTTGAGCACTGAGAGGTCTATCTTCTCGTGCTGTTTGCGCACTGGCTGAGCGTTGTACTCGCGCTTGCTCTCCCAAGTGTTGTTCAGCTCCTGCAAACATGCTGACTCCGACTCGGTGGCCCTTACTACTACCAAGCAAGGACGCTACTAGGGTCTTCTGGCATCGCTACTAGGAGCAAGAACGTTACTAGGGGCTCCTGGCCTTACTACTAGTGAAGTTACTAGTGGCAAGGACGCTTCTCAACTGATTCTCAAATTCTCAACCGGACCAGTTCTGTTTTTTTTGAGACTGGAGTCCCCATCCAAGCGAGCCCTTCCGACCCATCGAACAAATCGACGCGCAGCGAGAGAACAACAAAGAACTTGAACTAGGGGCTCCTGGCCGTACTACGAGGAGCAAGTAAGTAACAGTATTTTGCTTCCCGACTCAATCTTCGAATCTTCGACCATGGCCCTGGCTATACCGATACCGTTACCTACTTCACTCATCCAATGCCTACTTCGCCCCATTGTTTTCCATCCACGTTGAACGGGTCCGGGACGGTCCGGCGCACTCCAGCGGGACTGCAGCGCGATTTCATTCCAAGATCCACTGCCCTACATCCGATCGTGGTCACACAAACCAAACCACCAACATGAACCCTGACACAAGAACGAAAAAACAACCCACACACACTGATCATCGGAGCTGAGCTATCTCAGCTATGTGACCGACGACCGGCCAGCAGGATCAATTCTGCTGCTCGGCTCTGCTCGCAGCAAATCAAGCCACAGCAATTCGTGGCTGTCGCGGTCGCGAAAACTCCAAACCACATGGTTTCAATGAACAGGGCTCGGTCACAGACAGGTCCAGTCTAGTCTAGACAGTCTAGTGTCCAGTCTAGTGTAGTCAGTGTAGTCAAAGTCTAGTCTACAGTCAACAGTCTACAGTAGTCAGTAGTCGACAGTCTACAGCAGTCTACAGTCTACAGTTGATGGAAGTTCACCTTGAAGTCAACGTGCCATTCATGTGACCGACAAGCAATTCCCTTGGCTTTCTGCCAAATGTATCTAAATGAAAATGTACATTTTGGCAGTCTGCCAACATTCCAGTTCCAGGGTTCAAAGATGACTCAATCATCCTCTGGAACAAAGACGATCGTCCAACCATCCTCATCCTCCGCCACCGCCACAGGCAACGGCAAAGGCCTTGCAAGTCGCGCAGCAGGAACTGACACCAGGTGTAGGCGCTGGAGCCATTCATCACCGGTGAATGGTTGGTTGAGTTGGTTCATGATCATCCATCCAATATAGTGCATCGTGCGGCAGTGGATCTTCTGGTCGACCGCTTGCATCGATGTCCAGGTCTCAGCATATAGTGAACAAGAGTGAACACAGTTTATATTTAAAGTCCACGGCTTTTCAAACAACACAATCGACAATTGCTCACACTCGCACAGTGGCATCCCAACCCAAACAACGCACAAACAGTCAAACAGCCCAGTTGTTTCCATTCAAGTCGCAGACCGGCCATCATCGTAGGCGCATTGAACACTGAACTTCAAGTCGTGTTTCTTGACCTGCGGCGAATCCTCGCAGGCAAAGGACTTGAAGCAAATCGCTGGAAGCGCATCATCATCCACTGCCATCTCCCAGGTTCCGCAGGAGCCGATAGCGAGGCGTTTCGTCCTGCAAAGAACAGATCAACTTGAAACACCCTGACCCTCCCTGAAACAAAGTGGAATACAGCCTGTTCGTAGAGGAAAACAGTCTTGCAAGGGGCCATGTTTGTTGGATGGAGGGTAAGTTGAATGAGATGAAATTTCCAATGAACAATGTCTGACTCTGACTCTGACTGTTTGACTTAAACTCAATCAGGCTTGCCGCGCCTCGTTTCACGTTGGAATACGATTTGGCCTTCCTTGGAAGGGGCTGAACCTTGCTGATCTCCACCTCCACTGAAGTGACCGTGCGCAAGGAACACCCACTCGTGTCGTCTTGAGCTCGAGTGGTGATAGAATTTGAACACGGACACACGCGGCATGGCCAATCGAGGGATGAGTCTGATGCGTGCGGTCAATTGATATCAGTTGAGTCAGTTGCGTGTTGCAAACTGTAGTCACTCCCTTAGATTACTGTCAACCAGTTGAGGAGGCTCTGCTACTGTAGTTCATTGTTGGTTACTGTAGTTGGACAGTGACATGGATAGATGATCGATGGAAATTGTCATTCACCAACCATGTGGCTCCAAAATCGCTGCAATTGAAGCAATCGAATTCTAAAGAATGAATCCTGAATCGTGCGCGCACCCTGACCGGAGAGTCCTCATTCTCATCCTTCATCGTGTTCAGTGTTCTTTGAGCAATTCCTCCGAAGTTCTTGACTCTGGTCACCTTGGAGAGAGATACTGAGAGACTGAATATGATAATATGACTCATGCCCGTCGAGGTCGATCGATGTCCGGCGATGTCAACGATGACCAATGTCCGTCGTACTCAAAACAATGAAACATGAAGAGCTGCCAGCAGTCTTTTGCGCTCAGGGCCATTCAGGGCTCACTGGTTGATTCCATCCGCTAGATTCCAAAGACCCAATCATTTGACTGGAGTCGATTAAAAGCCCCAAAGTGATCTAGATCAGGTCCGTATCTTGCAAGTCCCAGTCCTCCACTTTGGTTACTGGGGACCATTGGGGGCCGTTTCAACCAATAAGGATTCAAAACCATTGGGGACCATTGACTCTGAGATCTTCCTCACTTTGGCATCACATTAGAGCTCAAAAGGCAATCGAGGGGGTCTCAGAAATGTCCGGAGTCGTCTCAAAGCCGAAATCTGTTCCTGAGTTTCACATACGCACTCATTGACATATCATTGTTCGTGCGCAACAAAACTCAAACCGAAATCTGTTCCTGAGTTTCACATACGCACTCATTGACATATCATTGTTCGTGTGCAAAACTCCAATACTCTAAAGACAGATCATGAGCCAGGGCACAATCAAGGCCTCCAAGTTGTTGATAAAATTCTCCCTGCAAGGATCATCTTCACCATCTTCATTGCGGTCATCAAAGTACCGTCCGTCATCCAAATCGCCTAAGAGAATTTCTTGACCTGAGTGCAAGCTGACTGACTTCCAATCTGATGGTCAACAATTGAACAGTCCGACGGACAGGCAGAATGCAAAATCGATGGGCAGAGATGGAGGAACTTCCAAAGCAACGGACTAGGAATGATCTTAGACTCATTAGCCCATTGAACATACAGTCCGACGAGAAAATCACTTAAAGTGACTGAATCTTACGCGCTCCAGCTGGTCGATGATGAGATCAAGGGAGTTGATGACCGCCTGCAAAGCCGTGCGAGTTCGATGGGGCGATGGAGAACATAAACTTCAAGTTGAAGCTTACCAGCTGGCCTCAATCTTTGGCTCAGCAGAGATAGGGGGCATGCTGAAGTCCGGCGAGAAAGGTCAATGTCCGTTGGGTCCGGAGGATTTGAGTCAAAAGCTGCGGTCCAATGGCAAATGAGAAGGCTACTGGTACTACCTGCCACAACACTATTTAGAGCAAAAGAAAAACTCCAGAAACATGCCAGGCAGACCTCTGTGTTGATGAAGATGAGGTAGAATGAAGCACAGCAACAGCAGCAACAGCAGTAAAAATAGGATGTCCGGCGAAGCTATGTATTATGAATATCCCAGAGTCAATTTTTATCCAGAGTCTGATTTAAAAAAATTGCTGATTATATAGATAGATCAGATTCAAATCAGATCAAACACCCATATAGATTATATTAGATAAATAGCATCAATAGAATGATACATAGAGAGAGAGAGAGGGACAGAAACAACCGAAGCTCCCAGGTCTTGTGACGGACCCATGGTCCGCTCGCTCCCATGGAATCTCCAGTGGTACCTAAAAATGTGTGTCACATTTTTGTGTACCAAAGGCGGGTCCAGGCACCATATATTATATATATATAGTTATGTAAGGTTATAATATGTTATATAGCTCATCTTGCTCCTCTACGGTCCCACTACACCCTGAGAAACCATCTGAGCACTCACACAACAGATCCTTGCGCACAACGTCCGGTGCCACCCTTTTTGAGCCCTTCAGTCAGACTGGGTGCGAGGGTTTTTGGAACCTATGAACAGTGGAAGAGTCATGTTGACATCTCATCGGCTACGGCAAATTTTGAGAATCCAACCTCAGCGCAGAACATGAAGCTTTCAATGCGTCTACAGACTGCATCAATATCGGTGAATGTTGAAGGCGATGCACCATTCATCGATACGATATGGATGCGTAGTGAAGTAGGGTAGACACCCCAGTTTGACCCCCTGGAAGAAGGAAAATAGACCTGTCTACCCATTGGTATTGGTTCGAGACCTCACTCATTTGTTGGGATATCTTCAAATCCTTCAACTGTCAAGTTGCACCTGATGCGATGAAGCGAGAAAACACCATTTTTCACACATATTAAACTTGAATAGAGTATCATACACAATGTATTTGGGGTCTATCCAAATATGAAGGGCCCAGCGTATGACGATCATCATTTAAAAACATACACATGGCCTTGCTTGTTGACCGACTGTTACAGCGGGACTAGGGACCCATATTCCACATCGATCTCCTCGCGCCAAGTGGCTCCGCCCGCAGGGCACCCAGCTCCTTTGGTGAGAGCCGGTCATCACGCAACACGCACTCCTGGGCATGAAACACAAAGAGAATCTCCGTGGTACCCTAGACGGAAGGGTTCTAGGTGTCCATCGTCGCTCACTGGATCTACGCCCCAAGATCAAAGGCTAAAACACAAGTTAATTAAAGCGGAACCACCCTAGCTTGGAAATCCAGCAGCTGTGAAAGAAACATGAGATGATCCGAGGACATTTACATCGTGAAGAGAGGTGAACATGGGAAAATTTGGAACATATGGGGAAATCATGGACGCGCTGAAGTGGTTGACTGACAGGGTTCGCAATCATTTGCGCAACCTTGGATCATTTGTTCGCAACTTCTTCCATGTCATTCCTTTAGGGACCCACACAGAGCCCACACCAGTGTTTTCGCCACGGTTCATAGCAAGGCAGGCCTAAGGCATCTGCCACCACCTCGGCAAGAAATGGCAAGAAAGCATAAGAGATGTGCAACTTCAGAAAGATTTGGGTGGTATAAAAGGTGCTTGGATGGGTATTTTGGGAGTTTGCAAATCAAAGCTTGTTGGCTGTTGGACTAGCTTGGCTGGCAGGGGTAAACAATCAGAGTATCAGCAGTATCAACAGCAACAGTGCCTGCTCTGGTAATGTGGTGTCAATGTACCTCCGGGTATGCTGCTTTGGCTATCGCCCAGGTGTCTTGACTGGCATATGAGTTGTCAGTGGTCACAGGAAGGACACCAGGATTGTATACGCCCCACCCGCCAATCTCAAGCGTTGTCCCAGCTTGATCTTGCATGTCACTCTTCCTTTTCTACGATGTTGGATTGTGGATGATTGTGGCTATTGTCGCATGCCATCACGTGCCTACCTTTGCCTATCATTTTGCCATCAGCGCTTTGAGATGTCTTGGGCCCAGTTGTCCACTTCAAATACAGTAGGTGCGTGCCTTTGCAATTGGAAATTGATCCCAAATGCCTGTATATATAGCCTAAAGGCCGCCCTGTCTATGGGAATCTTTATCGCTCCACCCCAATGGCCCATCATGCGCGCCCTCGCAGCTCTGGCACGGCAGCCACTAGGCAAGCGAAGAGGTTCGACCAGCTGTGGGTGACCATGCGGTCCGGCATCAAAGGCTCCCCCATGAGCACCATGCAGGCGGCGCAGTCTCCTGCGACCGTCAGCGAAGACCAGTCTCCAGGCTTCATGAGGTGCATGAGGTGCAATGTACTAGGTTTCTTTTGCTGGTGCGCCAGGAAAGGAACACCATGGATTCGGTGTTAATGTCACAAATGCTTGCAAATTCCCGTGCTTTGGACTCAACCTTTTAGAATCGAGATGTTTGTGCACCTCGAAGTATTCACACCATGAACTTTTGTCATAGTCTCAAAAACTTAATTGATCTTTGTAACCAAAACTCTTGGCTCAGTCTTCCGGTTTATATGGAGCATCGCTGCAAACATCCACAAGTCCAGTCATTCGCCACCATTTGCATGCAATACGCTCCCAGCATCTCCCATGCTTATCCCATACGAGCTCCTCTATGGACTCCAGTAGACTCTATTGTCTATGTTATTCTCACCATTGTATCCTCTTTCTGCATCCAAACTTCACTCAAACGGCCCCAACTCCGAACTCACCGCCGAAATACCGCGCTTCGGTCGGCGCGGTCGCTTCGCGGCGGGTCTCCATGCACGGTGCCACGGGACATGGGGATGATCGCCTGGGGAGGCGAGGAGGTAGGAGGTGCCAGCCACCCAAGAAAACACCCTGCTAAAGCCCCTGCTTTTGAGTGAGTAAAGTTGAGAAACGCCTCTGCTAGAAACACCAAGCCGCTTGCCCCTGCTTGATGTCGAGTCTGAATCACCTGAAGCCCCTGAACAACGGAAGAGCGTTCCCGGTCATTGAGTCATATAATACGAAGTTTGTCCATGGCGGTCTCAAGTGGCACTTATTAAAAAGAAAAGTTCCACCAGGTCATAAAGGCTCCGTTTTTTCTTTTGAATTGACTGTGAGACACCCGAGAGAAGGTTTCATCTTATCAATTCAGTATGCAATTTGGTTGGGGGGATCAATCTCCCACAGTGCAGGGTGGCGCCGGGTGCAGCGGCAAATCTACACATTTCAACATGTACCTTCGCTACACCTCTATTTACCTACTTGTGCGACTACATACCTGCCGACCAACCCAACTTAGCTGCTACACAGTGTCAAAATGACAGATAATTCATATAATGATCAAATACCCGTCGGCTTGATTTTGGGCGGCCAACCAGTCGGGTGGGTCAAACCCTCCAACCCTCCAACCCTCCACCGATCGGGACGGCCTGGCGCACCACATCCTCCGTGGTGTGCTTCGCCGGGTCAAAGTGTGGCATCCGCTCCTCGGAGCACAGAAGGCGTTTTTGGGTCGGCACGTCTGCACAGTAGGTTGTCTTCTGGGTGAAGCAAAAAGCATCAGAAAACCATAGAAAACCAAGTGTCTAATTCCTGCAACTGTCTTGGAACCTAAAATGAAAATCAATAAAACAAAGAAGGGAAGGTCATTAAATCATGAAATGTCTAGTTGTCAGCCTATATATATAGTTTCAATCCTGTGCTTAATCGAACAGTTTCCAACACAATCACAACGACTATCAGCCTAATAGCCTTCATGTGCTTTCTCACCCTCGAATCTATATTATCTGACCTTGAGTGTTTCGCTATAGTCTATGTTCGTTGCTAAGCTCGCCCCCCCACAATTGCAATCCGAAAACACAATCCACACAGTATTTGTGCAGGACATCTCACTAAGTGAAATCATCCCCTGCCTGTCTCCCTCCCAACGACTTACTTCCCCCATGTGAAGGAGCTTGCCTGCAACGAGCCATAGAAGTCCAAGAGCGCCGACAGGCTGATAGCTCTCTTCGATAAGTCCAACGTCTTCGCATCCCACTCCTCGCGCGCGATAGTCTTCGGTCAGGGTGGGAGATCGGACGGAGCGAACGGAAGGAAACATCTGATTCTGAATGTGTGTGTGAACCACTGCAACTCCCAAATCCTAGCAAGGGGGAACATCAAGAGTTGAATGTTGCACATCAAGCCTTGACAGGCCAGGCAGGCTGGGGGACCCTTCATCTGCAAAGCGACTGTTGTATAGTCTTAAGCCCTCTTGTTGCAATCAAGAAGCACAAACATGTGTGGAGAAATGCTCAGGTAGGATTGAACGTTAAACTTGCAATTGACATCAACAAAGATTCGCAAAGCAAATCACAAGAAGTTTCTCCAATTTTGGTGAGCGAAAGCCAAAGTTGCACGACCAATTCAACCTCTGAAATTCCGGAAGTCCCCTTTCCGAACCTGTCTCCCTCTTCATAGACTTAATCTATGTATATAAATATATTGCACATAATGATATGATATATGAACATCATCCCGGGCCACAAAACTTGGTCTTTTCAATGATGTTTTATTTAGAGCCTTTTGCTGTATTTCATACACTCCAAATCTCCCACTCCAGCAGTTGTTCACCAATTTTGGCGGTGACCCGGATGATCTGAGGATTGTTTTGGTTTCAGGGTGGGTCTCAGTTGTTGCGCAACACCATGTTTTCCACATATGTCCTAACAAACCCTTAATAAGGGTTATCTTCCCTTGGTGCACCAAGTGCTCGAAGTAGTGCTCATTCAGCATTGTCGCATCCTTAGTAGAGTTTTAATAGAGCCTTGTTAGTTTTTTTGTTTTTAAAAAATTGAGGGGGTAGTGTAGGCGGGGGCAGTGCGAATGTCCATGAAATAGTACGTATATAAGTTGTGTATATAATATATATGTATTGTATTGCAACGTTACCAACGCTCATCAACCATGCCTTGCTGTTTCGCCCTGTGAAAAACAACAACAACTCAAGGCTTTCACGTCGCCCCAGTCACCTAGATTAGCCCTGCAATGCCATTGAAACCTTTAACCACGCATGCCCGTGCATCACGGTCTTCGGACGTTTCAGCCCTGGTTTCGCCACACGTGGAACCGCAGGACCCGCCATCTGTCCTCATGGCCTGTTCGCCACTCAGGCCCAAAGGTCCTTGGCAGTGTCTGTCATGTTCTAGCTAGACAAGTCCTCTCTCACCGTTTGCGAGACGGAGAAATCATGAGAACAGGAATTCACGTTTGGAAAATCATGGAACATCCAATCGAAAGTAAAACCCAACATATCCAGCCAGTGAAATTCCAATTCATAGAAACCTGGTTGCGAAATCCTGCATGTCTAGTTTCTGGACTCCACTGCCACTTAGTTCCGGGTAGGCTGGTGACAGTTGTTGGGTCAGCATTCTCTTGACGACTGACACCAACTGAACATGGAGCGATCGAGGGGAGAGGCCAGGGGCGATCGAGGGGAGGGGAGCCACCCCCTGGCGCAGAACAAGATCCCCAACTACAGTGTACAGTACCAAAAAAGGAACTCAACCAAGTTCACATTGAATCCGCCAAATCCAGAATCGCTTTCTTTCTGCGAGGTCACGTTGCGAGATCACGTTTCTCTCCTACTTGACAAAGCAAGGCAACTCTGCGAGTCTCTCCTTCCACTGTCAGGCGGAACAAGTCAGCTCGATCTGAGAAGTTGCGTGGCCAAGCGCTTGGTCTGTCTGTGATAACCAAGCGCTAGCAGTTTTCTGATGAATTCGGGCCATCCCTCACCCATTTCAGCCAAACACAACAAGCATGACTCAACCGCCCAGGTCTTGGCATCTGGTACCAATCGCGCCGGGCGCCAAGCCGTTCCTTGGGCCAAGCCGTTCGTGGGACATGGCGAAAGACATGCAAAGGGTGACCCTCGGCGGGACGCATTCCGGAACGAAGAATTATCCCGCATGCTTCCTCATATCGACATCCAACATCTGCACCTCATTCGGCGGGAAGCATTAATTAGGCCATGAGGTGCAAATGTTGGATGGACAGCATCGTTTCGATGAAGCAAATCTTCAGGTCAGCCCGCGGGGTGCGGCGACACGCGCGGGAAAGGTGAGCAAACATGGTGATTGTTCAGGGACGTTGCCAAGTCAGATTGCACCGGGCTCATGTGAAGGGCTGATGAAAAGCAGTTGAGCAAGTTGAGGAGCTTGCATCCTGTCAAACAGCATCTTGGAACAGCAGCATTCTGTTCCAGCAAGGAGTGGCCTGAATGATGAGCTTTCTGAGGCCATTGTGTAAATAGCTAGCTCTCACGCTCTCGCGCCAACTGATGGATCTGCTTGTCGACATCCTTGGGCTCCTCATGGCTCATGGCTCGTCCCACAGCTTCCCGGAACGGCTCCTCGGCTCCTCCACTGGGTGCGGGACCTGGCGGGACCTGGTGAAGCTGAAGCTGTAGGAAACAAGAAGCCAGTAGTAACAAGTGCCACGCTAGTAGTAACAGGTGCCTTACTAGTAGTAACAAAGGTTTCGGAGCGCGTCTTGGAATTGGCGTTCGCCTCGCGGGAAGAGGGGGGACGTGATGCTCACGATTGAGCTTTCACCCTAAGGGTTTGGATGAGTGACCTTTGGCTGATGTTCCTCAGATTCCACGGGAGTTGACACGAGCCGGCAAGAGGCGAGACATCTCCAGGCGATGAACACTTCATTCTTGAAGGACTGCTATATAATTAGAGATGTTGTTTCACTGGAATAGCTTGGGGTTCCAACTACCCTTTGACCAAGTTTGGGGTGGGTGTGTTCCTGGTCCTCAGCTCCCAGCAAATGTTCATGATGCACCACACGATGCACATAGATCTCCCTCCATTCCAGAAACCCGAGCAGCTCCAGAAACAAGGCATCTGGCCTGGGCTTCTTCTTTCACACCCTGTCCTCCCCGCGCTCCTTTTCGGCACCCCGCCCGATCCATCTGGGCGTCTGTGAGGCAGAACTCCGCATACTCTGCGCGGCACGCAGGAGCTTCGTCTTGGTCGAGGTGCCCATCTGGCAGAGCCATCCCCGGTCTTCAACCCTTCTTGGAAGGCCGACCACCCCCCCGAATGGGTCTAACGGATTTGGATGGATCATGATGGATCTAGATTTTAGTAACCCTTTTAGCCCTTTCATGTCATTTTCAATGTTGAACCTGTTTCAGCGTGAAGCCACTGCAGTGTAACGTCGTGAGAGAATACTACTATATTGAATCTCTATATATACATATATGACATAGTATTGTTGTATTGTTTGTGTGTTTTATTGTGTGTGTTTTTGTAAAGATGGTGTGATTCATTAGAGTTAGCTGAAACATCCAGGTCATAATACGATTCGATGTGAATCTAAACATTTCCAGAATCAGCACTCCCAGCAATCAGCCACAATGATATAGAAAGATGATGACAGATGTTGAACTCCTTAAATCTGCTATCCAAAAAAAAGCTGCGAGAGAGGGGCGCATATGCGCAAGCGCATGCGCAAGCGCACTCCATCCAGCCCTTCAACATAAGGCCCTCCTCCTAAACAGCCAGCCCGGTCGATCACCCGAACTTCCACCTCCACCAACGAGAGCAAGGAGCCAAATCCTCGAGCACCGGTCGGTCACCGGTGGACCGGTGGACTGCGCGTTGCGTGGCCCGAAAACGTGGAGCCAAGCCACTTGAGGGAACCAAAATGGGGATCAAATGCCCAAGCCAAAGACATCTCAAGTGGCTTTGGGGGCTTTTTTTTCCCTACATATCCCTACATACTAAGTTAGTGGCTGAACCACCGCCCCAACTTCGGACCACCCCCATTGACCATTGGTGGTGAAGTCGCTTGGACACACCGGTCCAAGGCCCAAAAACAAAGCCCATTGGTCCAGACGGTGACGGTTGCTTCCTGGGCCATGTTAGACCCATCAGATTCCAATCCCTAAAGCTCCAGTCGTACCTCCTCAGAAGGTATTTGGACCCTCTAAACCCACCCTAAACATCTTCTTAGAAGGGACTTGGAGCCCTAGGGAATACATTAACCACCTCGAGACGACCTTTCGGTTTGGAAACCCGGATCGGATCAAAACAAGACTGCAGCCCATGCTGCTGGCGCAGTTGGTCAAGGAGGTCATGGCGGTCATCACGTAGATGTTCTCCTTGGTTCCCAACGTCATCAAAGTGTCTGAGTCTAACGTAGCGTCGGTATATAGTTGATGAATAAAGAACCCGCGACCAGAATGGCGACCTACCTCTCCAGCCCTCAGGGGAAGTTTTGTTCAACAGTCTACATTCATCTACTGTACAGTCACCACAGTCTCCAGATTCTATGTCTTTCAATCGATCTCTGTTCTCAAACGGAATCCACCGATGGACAGGCATTGCCGTCCATCCACCGCTGCACATCGAGGCGCGAAGATGGTCTCGTAATCTCCCAGCACGTTCTCCTGCGACGACGGGGTGTCAATCGCAGCTCCAAAACGGAAGGTAGAACTGGAGTCCTTTAAATGGATCCAGCTTGCAGGTTGCAAAGCAGGTACGGGAAGACATACCCAGGAAGACCCTTCGGAGACACAAAGACGCACAAAGCGAGACAGCACGACAAACATTGAAAAAAGAAGAACACCTTTGTTCTTCTTGTTCTCCTTGTTCTCCTTGTTCTTCTTGTTCTTCTTGTTCTTCTTGTTTCTCTTGTTCTTCTTGTTCTTCTTGTTCTTCTTGTTCTTGCTGCTGGGGCTGGTGGCGGCGGCCGCGGCGGCGGCGGCCGCGGCGGCGGCGGGGTTGTCGTTGTTGTTGTCGTTGTCGTTGTGGTTGTTGTTGGTGGTTGTTGTTGGTGGTTGCTACCGTCATCATCATCATCATCATCATCATCATCATCATCATCATCATCATC